GATGACTGCTGGTCACTGTGTAGACTTGTAAATTATTTTAATTCTCATTTCATTCTTTGACTCTTACAAGTGTTGTAGTTTATAGCCTGCCCCACATCATTTGTGAATCTTACTGCAGTATTTCCAAACTCCCTACCATCCTTTTGAGGCCTGTTTCCTTTCTCTTTTCTATAGATTCCATTCCATCACATTTACTTCATATTATTTCTCCTTCCTGAGTGTTTGCTGTATTTACTTTTTACCAAAAGTCCAATGGAATTTTATGGGAACTCAAACAAGATTTGTAATGTCTTTTTAGGGCTTTGTAGATCTTACTTACTGTTTTCTCTCTTCAGAGAGAATCTGTCCATGAGAAACAGTTTAAATTTGCAATGGATGTTAGGTGGCTGTGTAAAATAAGTAAAAGGGAGTTTCATGAATCTTCATTGCTTAAAGCCATGGAATGGGATAAGATGTGTTATCCAGCTCAAGAGTTGCCCAAGGACATGCACAACGTCCTTGTGATATCATGGAAATATGCTAAGCATAGGGAATTATTTCCGCATGAAGAAGAAAGATCAGTGAGCCAGTCACCCCGGGTTACTTTATTGCATCTCTGAGAACACAGATCTGACAAAACTCAGAAAGTAGATTGTCCATCCATTCATTCACAGCTAATGTTTGCTTCAAAAGAAACTAGTAAAGGGAGACAGCAACAAGAGTATTTTGGAAAATGATTGAAGAGTATTGTAGCCAATTACTCAGAAAATAATCTGATGCAAATATATAAAGAATAACAGAACAGTAGTTATCAATTCCCACGACCTTGGTGGGGGTCACAGAATCACAGGGTCATACAGCATGGAAACAGACTCTTCGGTCCAACTAGTCTACGCTGACCATGTTCCCAACTAAATTAGTCCCATGTGCCTGCGTTTTGCCCATATCCCTCCAAATCTTTCCTATTTATGTACTTATCCAAATGTCTTTTAAATGTTGTAACTGTACTGCATCCACCACTTCCTCGGGCAGTTCATTCCACACATTAGCCACTCTGTGTAAATAATGTTGCCCCTCATTTCCCTTTTAAAACTTTCTCCTCTCACCTTAAAAATATTTCCCCTAGTTTTGAAGTCCCCCGCCCTAGAGAAAAGACCCTTGTTATTCACCATATCTATGCCCCTCATGATTTTATAAACTTTTATAAAGGTCACCCCTCAATCTTCTACCTTCCAGTGAAAAAAATTCCCAGCCTGTCCAATCTATTTTTACATTTCAAACCCTCCATTCCCAGCAACATCCTAGTAAATCTTTTCTAAACCCTCTCCAATTTAATATTCTTCCTATAGCAGGGGCATACTACTTTCATGCTCTCTGACTTATAGAAAATATAAATCATTGTGTACTGTATATGCTTACTCTTTATATTATTATCCTTTGTGCAAATTTTTTTTGTCTTTGTTTACCACGATAAAGATCTCAAAATTATTTGGAAATTATGGCCACCAAGCACAGGGATCCAGTTTGTAACCCTACATAAATGGGTTTTGAGTGAGTTTTAAAAATCTCATCCTTCGTTGTAACCCCTTTTAAAATAATAGTCAATTTCTTTCATTTATAAACAGTCCAGGTTTGGTATACCGTGTTGCATTGGGTGACCACAACATTTATGAGACAGAAGGTCCTGAACAGTACATATTAGTTGATAAAGTTGTGGTGAATAAGAAGTGGAGTGGAGACCTTTCTGTCGGGTGAGTACAACATATGGCAAATTATTTATCTTTGAGCAATGTAATAATATTTAAAATGTCTCATGTAGACTGAACATATGCAATAGTTCTGCTTAGGAGTTAGGAAATACCTCCTCATCAATCTGATAACCGAAGTCACGAATAAGGTGTAGTTGATAACCATAGATATCCATCTTGCTGTTCAGTTACATCAATAATAATATAGCTGGACACACAACTGCAACAAAACGTTGTTTAATCTGAAGCAGGATAAAGGCAGTTAACTATGATATCAGGCCACAACAAAATCACCACAGAGTAATTGTGCATTTTACTCCAGTTACATATGCTGATCTTAAAAAGGAAAAGGTTGACACAACAAAAAGCTCAGCATCCTTGATTTATTTTATAGGGCTTCTAATGTTATATATCATTAGCTAGGATAATTAGACATGTCAGATTCTGTTATTAATAAAAGCACAAAAACTATTTTATGCTATGTAGGCATGACATCGCAATGGTTCGCCTTGCTCAAGAGGCAATTCTCAATGACAAAGTCCAGCTTGCATTACTGCCACAAAAGGGAGAGATTCTGCCAAATGACTACCTGTGCTATGCCACTGGATGGGGTTACACATTTAGTAAGTGCTTTTGGATTTATGCTTGAAAATTCTTCTATTGTAGAAATTACAATTATAAGATGATAAGAAAAGTAATGCAGTATTTTGTGAGATAGGAAGAACTGCAGATGCTGGAGTCAGAGATAACAAATTGTGGAGCTGGAGGAACACAGCAGGCCAGGCAGCATCAAAGGAGCAGGAAAGCTAACATTTTGGGTCAGGACACTTCTTCAGAATTTCTCAATGTTATCAATGCAGCATTTTGTCTGGATAAAATTCTTAAATGTATTATTCATCTGGGAATTGGAAAGAAGCAAAGAAAAAAATCAAAGCAAACAGGATCTTATTTTTTAACAGACTTCATGTTGAGCCAATGCCAAGCATAAGATTAAAATAAATTATTGCCAGGAAAGTTACTGCACTAGATTCATACATTGTCCTTTCCTCTCTATGACACTGCATCAAAATTAACCCTGGCTACAAGGGTCCCAATTAAAATGATATTGAGGCACTCTTGATCGTTTCACAGCACAAAACTGCCCTAATTCAGACTAATCAACATTCACAGGTCATCAATATGATCCAGAAATTCAGATGCAGGTCCAGCAGCTGAATCCCATCAAATGCTCTTCGATCTGTTTGTTGAATCAACACTAAGAGGTTGCAGGTTCAGGCAAGGGAGCTTAGGATAATATATGAAGCTTAGGAAAAACAAGAATGTCAAATTCAGAGTCAGATGATCATAGAATAAATATGGAGTAGACCAAGATAAATTGAAAAGAAGAAACATAGCGTTCATTGGACGTTTTTCTCTGATCTAGATGGTGGTGAAGTTAGTCCTACTCTTCAGCAGACTCCGATTCGGACTGTTGACTACAAAACCTGTTCCAGACCCGACCTTTGGGGCTACTATGTCAAAGACATCATGGTGTGTGCGGGCGGAGATGGTTTTGTCTCAGGCTGTCAGGTAATGATGTCGGTTGTTTTCCATCCACAGGACAAATTAGAACAGTTTATATTAAATGTAGCCTTTTCTTGGCAATGCCATAAGAAACTGTAGTAAATGAAATAAATCCTTGATTAGTACAACTGACCCACAGAACTTAAAGCTTCATTGTAAGCTTGTTATGAGAATCCAGTAGTCAACTAACATTTTTGGATTTCTAATCATCATTCATTCACACATCACAAATAAAAATTGTAAAGAGATGATATGGTGCAATGAATCTGTAAGCTGGCCATTCACACCAAGAACCTGGATTTGAATGCAGCCCTGAGCCAAAAGGAGAAATTCTCCTTTCTCTGTGACTGTTATAACAGTGTAAATGTGAAAGACGTTTGGGTGGCCTGAACTAAATGACCTGTCTCGCTCAGACAAGTGCGACAACACAAATGTTCAGTGGTTGTTTCGAGGTTTGTGTAAAGGCACATTAAGATAATTCAGGAATCTGGATTTAACAACAACCATATCTACCATCCTAAAACACTCTATAACAAGAACTGACAAATTTCAAAATGAAACAACTGATAGCTTGTAAACAGCTCTGAATATAGACCCCTGTGACTAAGGCCGGTGCTGTAAGGAAATTGGATTATTTAAATGTCATTCTGCTGCATAGGATTCGGTCATTTTACCAATGTTTTGAGAATCCCTTTATGAAATTTGGTTTGTCTTTTTGAGAAGACCAAAACCTAACGTCTTCATCTCTGACAGATGAAAAGTTCAAATGAGAGTGCAGTGGAACATGAACTTGCAACTTAAGCTGCAGGTATAAATCCAAGGTTCACGTAGATGTATTGGAGGGTGTGGTTGGGGGAGCCATTAGTATACAAAAAAAAGTACTATTTGGAATGACAGACTTGGAAATTTCTGATGGGAAATATGAGAACTGAAGATGGAGATTTATTTCCTTGGCACTTCCTGGTAAATACTATATTTTAAAACATTTCTTTGGTGCATTTTCCAGCATTTTAAAGTCTCTCTACAATTCTACTATTGCAGCCAAAAATGGTGAGTTCAGCACACTAGATCCCACAGAGAGTCCAGCAATAATGCCATTTAAATTGAAAGAAGATGTGCTACAATATTTTCAGAAATGCACAGTAAAGGCATTCTAGGACAACCTAAGGTGTGAGACAACAGAAAGCATTGTCTGAATTTTCTATAGACAAAAAGGCCCAGGGAGTCTCTCTCTATTGCCTATCAACACTGAGTAAGAGTAGACTATTCAGCCTACTGATGTCACCACAAAGACTTGGCTGCATGCAGATCAGGACTGGCGACTAAATATCCCACGATACATGTCCTATTGAAGAAATAGGCAGATGGGCTGGGGTTGTGGGGGGGTGCTGCCTTCATTACAAGAAATGAAATTAAAATCGATAGCAACAAATGATATAGAGTTGGATGGCATAGAATCTTTGTGGGTGAAGTTGAGGAACCATAAAGGAAAAAAGACCCTGATGGGAAGTTCTGAGGAAAGGTCACTCGATCAGAAATGTTAACTCTGACTTCTCTCCGCAGGTGCTGCTAGACCTGCTGAGCTTTTTCAGCAATTTCTCTTTTTGTTTCTGATTTACAACATCCACAGTTCTTTCAGTTTTTAGACCCTGATAGGAATTGTGGACAGGCCTCCGAGCAGTAGTCAGGATGTGGGGCAGAAAATAAATCAGGAAATAGAAAAGATCATGTAAGAAAGGCACTATTACAATAATCATGACGGACTTCAGTATGCAGGTAGACTGGAAACATCAGGTTGGTAGTGGATCCCAAAAACAGGAACATGGTTTTCTGGAGCAGCATGTGGTACAGCCCACTAGGGAACAGGCATTTCTGGATTTGGTGATGTGTAATGAGGCAGACTTGATTAGGGAGCTTAAGGTGAGGGAATCTCTAAAGGGGAAGTGACCAGAATATGATAGAATTTACCCTGCAGTTTGAGAGGGAGAAGCTGGAATCAGATGGAAAGGTATTACAGTTGAGTAAAGGCAACTACAAAGACATAAGAGATAACAAGGTGTAGAGCTGGATGAACACAGCGGGCCAAGCAGCA